CAATCCCAGAGGCAGAAGGCAATGGTAGTTCATCGTGTTCTCCCTTGTTCAATACTAAATTAACACAACAGGTGTTAAGCTCTTTAACAACCCAAACCTCAACAAAAGTGAAGACAGTGATTAAAAATACACATATTTACAGCTGACAAATTCCACCGCAATTAATCATCTTCGTCCTCGTCATCTTCATAGCTAAAAGAGAGACTTCCTCCTTGCTTTTTGTCCTTCTGCACAACTGCAGTCCTCTTAGGTTTCTCAGTTTCCTTCTTTCTCTCATTTTTGGCTCCCTTTACTCCCGTTACCTTACTGTCTTCCTTGACCCGTGGTTTGCGAAAGATCACGCGACCTATAATGTGATCATAAAAAACAGCTTATAAAATAGCAAACCCAGAGAAGAATAAGGAAGAAGGATTCTTCGACGAACACACCTGACTGTTCCGCCTCAATTTCCTTAGTGGTGGGTTTATCTTCGCCTGCACTAACTAATTCCCTTGCTTGTGGTTGTCTTTTGACGAGATTTCGCTGAGAAAATTCGATGGCCTCTGATTCACTAACACCTATGCCAGCAACTACTTGGGGTGCTTCATCCTCCCTGTCGCGCAAATCGTCATCGTCATCTGCACTACGCCGAGCTTGAGCTTTCTGTTGGCAAACAACGGTGGTTCGGAAAGGGGAAAGGGAGCAAATTATTCGATCCGTAACAATCTCAGGTAGATCCTTTGAAGCAAAAACTAACCAGGTTATCCATATAGATAGTAATCCACTATCAGATTTGAAAGAAAATCGGTCGTTTCTGGGCAAGATTTGAAGCGCCTTGTTGATGAACGTGGGATGAGGGATGATGCATGATATTTGAAAATAAAACTGAGCTACATAACTGCGCTAAACGGAAGTGAATTTCCGTAGAAACGCAGTGCTCCCTTGCATGAGTTTACCCAGGCTAATAAAAGTGTATACTAGAAAAAAAAGCTTCCGAAAGTAAGCGACTAACCAAAAATAGTCCCATAAATTTGCTACACAAATGCCGCGTATATCAAAGAAAGCGAGTAGGAAATATCCTTTTCTACAGTATTGGAAAAGATGAAGCTAATTACAATGAAACTACTTGATTAATCAACAATTTTGAGGAAAACAAATAGGGTGACGACGAGAAAAAGTTACAACAAGGAAAAGTTCATCGAGCCACAAGCGCTTCCTGACATGTTAAACCACACGTTCCATACGATATAAGATGCTGAAATGAGGCTGCTACTCAAAAGCCAAATGTGCGACTAAAATATATGTGCTATTGAGCTGAAATAAGTAAGAAAACTATGTCGAAAAATACTTTGCTTTCTATCGTAGCTTCTGGACGCATCCCGGACCGCTCCCGAAAGCGTTTTATGAAAGCCGGCTCCTCCGCTTTTATAGCCTCAACACGTCGCTTCTGTAAAAAACCGAACAGCATGATTGGAGCGCCAGCGAACACTATCCCATCAGGCGTCCATCCAAACCAAATGCGGTTAAGGTACAAAGAAAAGACGGGTTTATGATTCACAAACCTATTTATTGATTATTGGGTTCTTCAACCACGATTAGCACGGTTTCCAGAACCACGTCTGTGTTCGTCTTTAAATTCGTCAAAGTTGCGTGCCTTCGTCCGCTGTTCTTCTGAGTACGCATCTTCCAGCGCATCCTCCCTAGCTGCTCTTGTTTCCGCCTCCTGTTTGACCTCCACAGATTCCGAGGGACTGAATCGTCGCCAAATACCCTCTTCGCTACCTAACTTGTTTCCTTTTTCCGAATGCGGTGGCGGTATCAAACCCTGTTGCACCTACAAAAGGCGATATTTAAATATGTCAATTGCACTTGGTCTCAAACCTGCAGTTCAACAAACTGGTCAAGAGTCATTGTCGGCAAGCTTGGATAACCGGCACCAAAAACAGCAGCTCGGATCTTTTCCCGAGTGATGAGCAGTGGTGGACGCCGAGTAATATGGGTCGGAGAAGAAGGAGGGGAAGGACCCTGAGACCCTGAAAACCGCGAAAGAATGGCCACCTCCTCACCAATCAATTTCAACTCCTCAACCGCTGTATAGGCCCAATATCGAACAAGCGCTAGGCTTTCTTCCCTCTTGAAGCAAACAAGAGTTGGTAACCAGTTCCGAAGAGTGAAGTGTCATCCAAAAAGGGAGAATGGCAACTTACCAAAGTTTCGTCATCCACACGAGGGGAATCAAAGGAAAGAAAGTTTTCTACACGTTGTTCAAGGGCTTTTTTTACTTTGTAGGCACGAATTTTTTCTTCACGAACAACATTAGGATCCCTTCGAAGAGCAGGAGGCATCGTTTTCAAATTAGCATTGTCACTAAAAAGAGACCAGTGCTCAATATAGCTACGCAAGGGCGTTTGCAGCATGAAAGATTACCCAAATAGACTTGCCCAGTGGAATCGTGCGTCTCCACCCGTTTTGGTAAATCGGGAATACCATAGGATTCAATCAAATCACCAAATTCGTCGTAGTATGTCTATCGGCTTCAGTGAAGGTAAGATAGCCATACCTGAGCAAGTTTCAACATCGTCACTCGTTCTTCTCGATCTGATTTTTGACTGGTAAAAAAGGCGAGAAAGGCAGGGAGCGTAAGGTAACGAATTGATTGGGTCGATAGATCCTCGAGAGTCTCATTTTTGCTAAACAACTCAATTTGGTTAACCATCTGAATAGCCTTCTGACATATTGTACAGCTTTCTTTTAGTAATTCCTATGCAAGTCATAAAAAATAAGACTTTATCATGGAATCAACATAGTGAATCAAGAAAGCAAATAGAAATTGTACAAATTGAAGTGAGACGGAAAGACAAATGGTGCAGCATAGCCTTAATAGTACGCTTATCAGCACTATATATAAACCTTGAATTTGTCATCCGTTGAAACAATTTCAAATTTCTTAATCTTGACATAATTCTCGAGAATGAGTGCAAAGAGAGATTGGAGTGTGCTTCCCGACTGCATTTGGTCATATTGAAGGCTAGACAGCTTTCTAATTTCATTGGACAACTTTTACCATGAAAAAATCCAAAGCTTCATTTTGGGTCAAACAGTATTTTGGGATGCTGAAGGCAAAAATCGCAAGATGAATTCAATTCTTGTAATCAGTGTAGAGAATCAACTCCTTTACCGAGTTTATTTGCGATGCCTTTCCGTCAAAATATCGATGCTTTAATCAAGAATCGGACGTTAACAAAGGAGACTAGTAAATAAAAACATATAACTCGTTGATTTTAAGTGTCCTAACTTGGTCCTTGGATTACCTATATGACTGGCGGCTACGGTGGCATTCATCTTGGTTCCGGTATAATCCGCTGGTCCCCTGAATCAAGCCAAGGCTCGTCCTCTTTTCTTTCACTCTGCATGGAGTTATCCAGCCTTCCACGATGCCTAATGCTACCTTATTGGAAACTTTGTCTTAGAGATCTCTTTATTTCTCATCCTTCCTTTTGTCAACACTCAAAACAGTAAAATCGGTTGTTTCTTGGCATAAGTGGTATATGCGTAACAAAAATGATATCATCGAGTTTGTGAAGTTTACCACTTTAAACATTTGTATTCCATTAAAAGTGATGGATATTAATGTTCCTACGTAACACTCATAAGGTATTTGAATGTGTCTTGTAAGCCAGAGGCGGGTGTGCAAACAAACGCACCGTTTCGGCTATGCAGGAGTCAAATAAAGCTTCCGAAGGGAGTTAGGCTCGCCATGAAATATTTATCGTAATGCTTTGTTTATGTGGTCATATGACGTATGGCGGTCACTTTGGGGTTTGTCTGGCAGCGGAAAGCGAACCCGATATTTTCTTTTTAACGGCCTTTAGATATAAGGTGTTTCTGAAGACCTGCTGCAACCGAGGCGGGGTCTCTCTGTGGCTTGTTCTTCATTTGTTGTTTGCTAAAAGCGACGTAGTATCCGGGACAGTCTACTGCCCAACAGGCACCGCTGTCTTACGGTTGCGTTGCTAAACTTTGCCAATTAATCGACTGATTTCTGGAAAAAAACAGTTCGAACAAGCCGACGAGCAAGGCTTCGATAGGATGATGCACTGGTTGAATGCATGCAGATACCCCAAAATCGGGTTGCCTTGCCGGAAAGTCGAAACCCCTCCTTTCATGACAAGAAGTTTATAATCCAACCAGCAGACGAGACTGCAAAGGAATTCTATCTTTTAGTGAGGGAAGCCAAGATTG